GGACACCTACTTGAAATCTGCCGCACATGGCCTTTTTGGTGACGTCGACTTGAGGTTTAGTTGTTCCGATGGTGGGTAGGAAAACCGCATAAAATCGGCACCAGAAAAATATGTGTCAGGGGGAGTGTGTTATTTTTGGGGTTTGCCTTTTCTAAATCCCCTTCTTGTTGGGAAGGCCGTATCAGCGCGAGGCTCCTGGTCGTCCAAATGAAGCATCAAGCCGCTATCGCACCCTTCCAGTTGGCAGCGGTACAACTTTGCCCTAGGGCCTCCATCATAATGTGGTAAGTGCCTTTCGTCCTACCACTATCCAACAGACCTTAAGAGAATGACAGGACTTCTAGGGAGCACGCACCAGCCCATTACAGGCTGTTGCATCATTTTGATGAACAAGCCTGACACCCACGCCGAGGAAGCAGCTATCGGCAGAGGATACCACCGATGGGAAAGTTAAGTGGAAACGCAGAAATCGGGAAACCCTGTTTATCCCCATTCCCACTTAGAAACAATGAAGACTGGTGGCTGTTTGATCCTGCTTTACTTGAAACTTCCTTGTTCAGGGCTTCCAGGGTGCTGGCAAGTTTCTCAAGCACGCACCTCTCTAACAGACACTCCCAGAGTATAGTTGTGCCCGACGAATCAAGGGCAATCGTGGTGCCAAGAAACAACGATTGTCGGCCTACAGCAGGCTTGGCGGTTTTCAGGCATCTAGTGGACGATATACACATGATCAATGTATCCGTGACCACATCGATACCCGGCATGCTCCTCATCACTCGAGGTTTTCGTGCGTTTTGCTAAGACCGGGAAGTAAGATAGTGGCCAATATTTCCCACGTTCCTGGGGAACCAATTAGGAGCACTTCATTTGGGATCTTTTGTGCGGGTCTTTGTGATGAGGCATATATCAATACCGCGGGTTTTCCGCATCCAAGCGAAATCTGCCCGCTGTTTGGCCTGCACCAAGGTGCAAAGACTTAATGCGGCGAGCTTAAGCTGTGTGCGTGGTTCCATTATAGCTAGTTCTGGCGCTGCTTTATGCGGAGCAACTGCTGAGCGAATGAAAAAGGTGCAGATAGAGGAGAAATTTATCCAGTGGAGGGTAGCTGAGTGATGAGAAAAAAGGACAGAAAAGACAGCTGTAGCAATGAAATAATACTGTTCCTTTGCAAGGACAATGAAAACAACATAAAGGCAATGAATCGAACAAGCAGTTTTGAAGTTCGTAGTGCGTAGGGCATGAATATTTGCAAGAAGGTTGGTTAATTACTTCAAAATCGTCAGTTCATGTTGTAAATTCATTTTTCATGCGGGGAGTGAGACTGCCTGGGCGCCTAGACCGAAGCGAGTGAATACCTTAGGGTACCACTCCTCGAGAATTCGACCTAAACTATAATCCATAAGACAGTGGAACGACACCAGGGATTTGCATTTTTTGTCCGCGATAGATTCATAAGCAATTTTCTCCCTCTGGAACCCAAAGCCCATCTCCTCCACTCATTCGTCCCAGGGTTTTCTAACTCCCTAGGTAGACCCTTAGCATCTACCAATCCAGTGATAAGCGCCAGACATTCTCTTTTGCCGCTTGACCGTCATGGAAACAGCTCAGCCACATGACGCACCTCTTGTGTGCCGTGAATAACGGTATCTAATGTATAGCTTAACGTTGCACACAATAGTCACTTCTCAATACCAAAATTATCAAGCCTGTAAGCTGGTTTGTACTCACGTAACTTATGTTGTATGAAATATATATATATCATTATTATTATTAAGGCTGTGATTAGGACTTCTCTGACGATGGCTGTGAGCGTGTACGGAAGTGTTTGGCTATACCACGACAACCAAGAGCTTAGTGAGAAAAAGTTGCGAATTACGTCGCCTACCAACTCGGTGACGTGTCACGAAGAATGGGCAATAAGTCCAGAAGCCTCAGCCTGTGCTACGTAGTGCTCCTTCAAATATGTGCAGACCTGAGTTAGTTGGCCATTCAGTCCGCGGACTGTCCTGAATAGACAACAGCCTTGTCTTACGCGGGTAATAGGGGAGGCCCGAGGCCCGTTCAGACGGAAGACGGTGTTAGAATCTTGCCGCTAATCGTCATACTTACTTGTTGGGGAGGACTTCCAAGTTGCCACGGAACAAATTTTTCGATGCGATTTGGCATTTCTAATTGATATCAAATGGAATTCTGTTCGGCGTGTGAAAGCACAGAGGGGGCCGATTTATTGGGTAAGCAGTAACAATAAAGCCTGTTGAGGTTTCACCGACATGAGAGAGAAACAAAACTGAACGTTCGATTGAATGTGATAATGACAAAGGAGAGGACACGGCGTTTTATTTCGCTTGAACTTTCTCCGGGTGGCCTCTAATGGACTGAACTGCAGCAGTGGAAACATTAACTTTAGACAGAAACAGCCTGCAGGAAGCGACTTGCTATTGCACTTTAGGGATAGACAGCGCTTTGGATGGGAAAACATCAACCGGTCTGAGTGAGTTGCACCAATGCTGCCAAGAAAGCTTGCACCTTATGTTGGAGGCCCATCTGCCATCTAGTGCAGGCAGTCTTCAAATCAAGGCATGCTTCCATATAGCAGTAAAGGCGCAGACATTGCGCCTATCCACCGGCCAGTTCATAGGTGAAATTCACTGTTACAAACAACTGGGCATGGTTACTGGCGAAGTTTAAATTTTTGAAGGAGCCATCAAGAAAGCCATCATGGTCCACCTAGAAAGCAACACCACTGCCACGTCTGCAAGACGGTGTTCAACGGTATCCCACCAAACTTCACACAGGTAGAGAAAGTTAGACCAAGTGCGAGGAGGACAAGAAGCCAGTAGATGCCACTTTCATTGACATCTTTAAAGCATTCCATACGCTATTTCGCTCAAGATTACTCAAGGAAGTGGAAAGTTTTGGAATCACTGGTTATCTGTAGCGTGGATCGGGAAGTTTCTAGTTGGTGGGAGCTGAGGAGTGATGATTAGTTCTCATATTTCCCCATCGAAGCTGATACACGGTGGCCACGCCACGGATAAAAGAGCATCGACAAGAGTACTTGGTATCGACATTTTTTAAAGGACATAATCATTGCTGAAAAGGTACCGCGACAACAAAAGGAACGCAAAAGCTTCGCGTTATCAGTTAAAAAGGGTGCCACGACCAAATTACATAAATATGGTGCTTTTACGCACACGAGCCAGTTAGACACGTCATTTCATATATTTCGGGGACCTGATGGTCCAATTTTAATGTGAGCTTTTTGTCTGCACAGATGACTGTAGTATACCTACCTTGTTGGGTGAATTATCAAGACTTCTGGTTATCGGATGGTCTTCTGCTGGTTAGCGATTTGTCTTGCAAAGGTGTGGTAAATGAAGACACCAGTAGCTGATAGTCGAGAGGTGCCGACCTGAATGAAATTACTGCATTTTAAGCCAGGGCACGTGAGATACCCTAAAGAAAAATGATGTGAAAGGTGAGATAAATTCACCTGGCATTCATTGAGTAGTTCTATGAGCTAATGTATCCGTCATTAGTGTCACAATAGCTGAACAGTCGGGAGAAAACCTTCGGTGGAAACTTCTCAGACTCCTGAAAGTACGAAATTTTCCCACACTTTTTGATTCCGGGCGGTTGAAAATAGCCACCGCTCTGTCTGCCGAGTTGTCTGACTCGTATTTGACACTGCGATGCCATATGTGCCGCTGCAATTGAAGGCAAGATCAAATCGACCGAATTCTGCATCGTTATTTGTACTTACCATGGAAATACGAACAACATCTAAACCACAGAAGGCTCTAATCATGAAGAGTCAAGATATTTGTGCTTCATTCCGAAGGCCAATGGAGATATGCTAAAATTCTATTGGTCCGAGAAGCGCGGTAGCTCCTTTTTTCTAGATATCTGCTGCTTCCAGGGGTATCTGGTTTCACGCTTCGACCAGCTCGAATTTGGAAAATATGTCCATTCCGCACAAAGTCATTGTTAGGTAGCCCAAATGAGGTATCTGGCAACGGCAGCGCAAAGTTTTGATACAAAGTAATCGATAATCACCTGTCAGATGACGATAGCCACTTTCTGTTTTCGGTGCATCATGAAGTGGCGATACATGTGGGCTATTGGACAGGTGGATAATCCTGACATTGAGAAAGCGGTTGGGTTTTTTTCTTGCCATATTTGGCTTATTTAGGCCATATAATGTGCTTGAGATACCACAACTGGCCCTTTAGTTGTAGTGTGATATACTGCGTTGCTGGTTAAGTGTGACGGCATGCATCGGTTGGCATAACTGCAGATACCAACCCAAGACTATGTCACAGAAGTAACACGTCCTCGCCAATAAGTGGAACTGAGGAATTTGCTAGCACGAAGTTGAAGTGAAATGCTCTTAAATAAACCCATTTACCTCTTGCAGGGGTAGCGAATTTGTTCCAGTTTAAGGATTAAGGAATGCTTTATGACGATGTAGTTTCTCAGTTGCAGATGGAAAGTTTAATTCTGCGTCCATGTCGATGGAATAAAAAACTTTCATTTTCACGCCGATGACTCATGACAAACAGCTGTTTCCACCATCCATAGAGGTCATTGACACTTGCCATCCGAGCAGTTTCTTGACATTCCATAGTTTATGTTGAAAATGCATTCTTTTGTACGTCCTCGCCATAACTGCTGCGTAACCGGCAGTATTCAGGGATACTAGGTACTATGAAGTCCAGCTGCAAAACAGCCACGACACTTGAGGAGGCGGGATGAAACACTAGGGTGCTTCATCGTAAGCTATGGCTATGGTAGCATTATTTTCAGCATTCAAGTTTCGCATCGCTCACAGCCACGTGGCAGTGACTGCAGTACAGCAGGCAATCCAGAACTGGTATCTTTGAAGCCTTGCTCGAGGAAATAGGCTCTATTATACACAAAAGTTGCTTCCGAGTTGTGTTATGTGTGGCCCAATGTAGACTGAGTGCATTGGTTTTACGTAAATAAGTTCAGGAAGTTTCATGTATGTTGATCTCGAAATTTTTTATCGGCGGTACATGAAGGTTATAAATATGACAGCTTTAGGCATCAGAACAAAAAACTGGGAGCTCACTAGCCCAGAAGTTTTCTAAGCACTTTTTTGACAGACCAAGAGACCACTGACACACCCTTCTTGCTTGTTCGATACACACAAGTGGGACACCAAGGAAGAATACATTACAGGAGTCACATATGAATCGAATATTCGATGTGGAGTGCTAGCATACAGAGATGCTGAAGATAGTTCACTAAAGAGTCGTAAACGGCACCGTGATGGAAGCTGACACGCCGGGTAGCACTGAAACCCAACCGATTATCTTCGGCCTAACAATTCTGCCAAAACAATGGTCACCACCAACTCTGGAAATCGTCGAACTGCAGGCTAATGATTAAGGGAAACTATCTGACATCATCTTTTCTGGCTGTTTCGGCGAAGAACTCCTAGAAGTTAAGTCACCTCTCACCGTACTCACAGAAGATATTAAGAATTGGAGAATTGAGCGTGGCGATGTGGGGAAACATTCTATTGACATTTCTACTGTTTCGCTGAACTTCATTGCTGTTTGGGCTTTCGGCGTGTACTTTTCACTTGGTCAGTCTTTATTTCCATGCCTTTCGCCCCTGTAATCTATCACATCAATACCTATGAGGAGTACATGAGTGGTCACACTGCTCAAATTGTTTTGCGCACTACATGGTTTACAGTAGCTATTGCCTTTCCGTTGCTTCACCAAAATTCGAAGGAGGGACTAGTTGTTTCACATAATCTTTATGGTTAATCTAAAACGGCTTTTGCTACACCCTGTTCAAAGTGATGCAAGAACTTCAAAAGTTCAACTGTGACTCTTATGTGGAGAAAATCGCCGAATAAGCAATAAGGAAACCTAATAATATCCAAACCAGAAGTCTGTGAATGTCTAATAAAAACCGGAAGCTCACTCCTATAACAACCAGGTTGGTCGAATGACTAAGATTGGTCCATGAACGAAGCCAGTTACAGAGACAAAGTCATTAATTCAGTGTTGTAAGTCCCAAAGTCCAGACAGGGATATGTTAATAAAACTCATAACAAATATTGAGAATACCAAATGGGTGGGAAAACTGTATTGCAAGTGCAAACAGCTGGGGTATGAAGACATGGAAACTGACAGAAAGGCACAATACACCCAAAACTTAAAGTCTTCAAACCCTCGAGCTGAGGAAGCAGAAATGTAGAAATCTTCGGGCTCTGTTTCTGAGGGATTCACAATTGAGTCTCGTATATTAGGTTTTGCACTTCTTAGCCATTCAGTGATCCGAAAGAGCTGAAAAGATTATTGTTGGATGGTCCTTGCAGATGAAACCAGCTGAGGACTGTCCATAAATAGCATAAATTTAGAATATTCTAACCAATCACTAAATAGCTGTGCCGCATCTTAGCTAATGACTCATCTGCCAATCTGTCTCATTCATCTGTTTCTTTTAGGGCAGGTAGCACAAGAATACTTCAACTTAAACACAAAAAAGCAGTAAACGACGGTATTCATCAAGAAGTTCGTCTGTAGCTTCTTATTGCTAACAGGTTTAGCTCTCATTTGTAGCGCGGAGCTGCAACACTTTCGTTGACTTCTCGGAAGCCAGGTTTGACTTTACTGGGGTTGAAAAACGTGAAGATAAATACGGGACTTCGACCTAATACTCATTTACGGCAAAAATGAAACTTGACCTAATCCTAAGAAAGAATGCGTTTTTAAACAGGACGTTACGTTAATGTTTTCATGTTATTCGCGTTTTGAGCTTAACGGTAAATTTAACAAAGAATGGATGTGGAAAGGTGGTTAATACATTCTTTATATACAGTGAATAGATAATTTATATTACCTCCATTCCCTTAAGGTGAAGACGGAGTTATGCTACCACAATGGTTGTGTAAGTCTGATGTAACAGCTCATTTTAAATCTTAGGTCAATACAATCTGTTGGGATGACAGTGGGGAATATATTTTGTCAGGTTCGGATGACAGATGTATAGTCGTCGCAAATGCATTTTCACAGGTTTTTGCAATTTCAACGTTAATCGCGTACGGTGTTGGTATCGTCATTTAGGATCCTCCTAATCAAAACATATATAGCTTAAAGCTACCTGCCTACAGTAACATTTTCACTGCAAAGTTTCTCCCCTTTTCATATGGGAGTGAAGTAGTTTTTATTTTTTAAAACTCCTTCAGATAGTTGTTGGTTTTAAATGCGGTTGTGTTCTACATGTTAACCCTAATTCGTCAATTAAAGACAGCTTAAAAAATGTCTTCTGCCATAATTTTGCTGTTTACGATGTGAGTTTTGGCTCATTGTATCCTGATATCATGTATATATGGCTTCAGTAGCTAGTTATATTTTATTACGAGGGTAGAAAACATTTCACGTTTCTTTCAATATCTGTCATTTCTGTTGCTTGAAATGCAACAGCTCCGGGAGGTATTCTTTTTTTGCATGAAGTTATCATTCGGCCATCTGTTTTACGGACTGTGATATTTCTACGAGGGAAAACGCCAGTTGACATGCAAGATACTTCTTGGTGATGTATAGGTAGGATATCATTATAGGTTTTGACTTAGTGACTCCCTACTACGTGGTGCAATGAATTAAGGTACATATGCAATCTGTCAAGTCTCGCAACTATCTAGATTAACATACGTTAGTTGTTGTATAACAGCTATCCTATGATATTCTGTTTTCTGTACGTTTATTCACTGATTTGTTTGTATGTGTATTCTATAATTATTTTTTCTTAATACGTAGTGAATATGTAGTCGAATCCTTCATGCATCTACATTTTACGTTATTTGTTCATAATATAGTGGTCACATCGTAGAATAGTAACAGACATTTTCGAACACATTTTTATTCGTAATGTGTAAATTCTATGTAACTTTAATGAAATCTTGCTTTTTTCTCTCACCAAGCTATGAGAAGAGTCAGTACATAGTTACTTAACTAGGCTTTTATTAGTTGTCATAACGGTTTCCATTTTCATTTGTCTGGAGGTAGTTATTAATTAAACACCCTTTTGCAAGCTTTGAGCTATTTTAGACAGTTTTAGTGCACACATTTTGGCTGCCCATTCCAAAGAGGGATGAAAAACTTCTTGTTGCTTTAAAGTAGTGGTCTACAATCAGCGTAAAATTTGAGTTCCTGTTGGTGTAAACCTGAAATATGCTTATTGTAAGTTAGGACAACTTGGGAAAAAGCATACATCATCCATTAACCACCTTCAACACTTCACTCGATTGAAAAGATCCGTGCGTTTTAAATGGTATGTGTTCGTACTTCACTGTGTTTGATCTATGACGTATCGGTATCTGATACGTTTTTTGCTGTAGCAGATAAGTGGAGATTAGTTTACATTATGACCTAAGTTTTATGCTCGCTTTACCATTGGGATTGAGCCTAACTCAACGTAGTATGGATACGAGTAGTAAATTATAAACTGCTAATAAGTGTTGAAGTAATCAATAATAAGTAATGATGATTAAACCATATTGACCACAGAACTCAAAACTTTAGGTTCAGTAATTTTATCACCATTGTAGAATGTCTTATGATTTATGCTCAATTTGCCAGTTTTTATAAATATTTGTGCAAGAGTTTTACGGTAGGTTGAGGTTTGTACATATTGTATCGCTTTTGATAGTGTTGAAATCAGATTTATCTTCTCTACCTTTTATCTACTTGAGCCAACCGACTCCTTAATTTCTAATGTTATAAACGATTGTTTTTTGGTTTTATTTATTCAACTTGATGACTGCTGGTTGAAAATAGCACTCTTATCATGCTTTCTGTTTCCGATTTGATTTTGACTTCACAACTTAACTGTAATGTATCCTCCCCCTCCCACAGATTCTCACAATGAGGGAGATGCCCACATGCTTTCTTACAATATCTCATGATCAATCAGTATCACTTCTGGATACTAGAACTACCTCAGTTGTACGTGAGACTCAGAATTGTAGTCGGGGTTGCTTCAGCAACATAAAATCACCATGGTTTTCTAAGTTTTCTGCTGTTGATCAGTTAAAATTTAAATTTCCGGTAACTGCTGGCGACATTCATCCCTTAGATGGATGTCGTTCCATCGCACTGGCGACAGCTGATGGCTTCGTCCGTCTTTTTGATATTCGGAAGCTGGTTAACACGGGTAAATCCATGTTTTTCCGCACGAGTATAAAGCTTTTTTTATGCTTTTTGTAGTAAGTGTTTGATCAGCTACCCATCATTTTTTACAGTGAACTAATTCACTTCCCTAACAACATATTTGTAATAGCTGAGTAAGAAAAATTAAGTCTCTATTTCGAAAGTCACGAAGTATTCCTGTCTGGTGATACGCTACCATATTCTGGCAAAAATAATATAACTTTAATTATTTCACAGTAAATGGTACTAAAGTTGTAAGGATTTATTACTCAGTTGAATGACTTCGTTGAGTGGAAAGCGCATAATCTGTCGTCCAAACAAGCTGATTTCTTTGTGCTTAATGATTAATACCCTACCGATAGCTTCTACCTTGACGTGGTTGTCGGCGTCTCATATCACAATGGCCCAACGAGCTACGCTAGTGGAACACTTGCTCCCTCGAGGTCCTACCATACCACAAAGGTCTGTCGGATAGTGGTTAGACGAAAAGCAATTACCATTGTGGTGTAAATTACTACACTATGATGGGGGTCTGAGGGCGAAGTCGTACTACTGCTACCTGGATGGGGTGTTTCCCTTGGATGACCAGCATTGCCATGCTGATGCTGCCTTCTCAGTCAAAGGAGGGGGTTGGAAAAGGTCGGCCCCCAAAATAACACACACCATACCCCACGGTCTGCCGGGTCGGCGGTGTTGGTTCATTTGTCGTTTCTTTTCGACCATCCGGCCCCAAAACAACAAAAAATCAAAATAATCATACACAAAAGGCTGAGTGTGACAGGCCTCAAGCAGATGTCCGATGGGCTCTGCGGTCACACGAATCTCTTTCAGGTGCTTTAAGAAGAAATAACCTTCCACGGTGTGGGCAGCCGGAAAGTATCAATCGCTCTCACAACTCTGTCAACACTCAAGTTTCCTCAAACTGCTACCTACCTTCCCCCCCCCTCATTACCTCCTAATCTTCCTTCACGTCTCCCAATTAACAATACCATATCATCCTCAATTTCTCCTTGTTCTGCAGCCTTTGACAACGATCTGAATCAACAGAACAGCATCCCTGGTCTCCTTGAACCACGCTCCAAACTACATATTGGAGCCTTCAATGTCCGCACCCTCCGTCAAACTGGTCAACAGGCTTCATTGGCGAAGACTCTAGCAGCTCGGGGTATGGATGTGTGCTGTGTTTGTGAGACAAGCATACAGGACCCAAGTGCGGTTATTCACCAAACATCTCCCGGCCAATCTGGTGAATCCGCAAAATTCACTCTTCGAGTTTCTGGAGATCCGATAGCTAGCTCTCGCGGTCTTGCAGGTGTAGGTATAGCATTAAGTACTAGGGCAGAAAGCTCACTACTAGACTGGATCCCAGTTGATAATCGCCTCTGCTCTACCCGACTGGACGGCACAGTGAAAACTAAAGGGAATAGCGAAACTTGCCGTTGCCTCTTTGTAATCTCTGCTTACGCACCCACTGACTGCAGCTGGGATGAAGTGAAGGACGAGTTCTACCGTAAACTGTCTAGCCTCCTTTGGAAAGCCAAACGCCCGGACGTGGTGGTTGTTGCAGGTGATTTCAACGCATAGGTGGGTAGACTGAGTGAGGCAAAAAGGCACTTAGGTGGCACTTTCGGAATTTCGGCTGAACGAACAGATAATGATGATCGCCTACTTCAACTGTGCTCATATAGTCGCCTATTTTTAGACAGTTCAAATTTCAGACATAAGAAAAGATACTGTCTGACGTGGCGTCCACTGAGCTCAACTCAGCGATGGACACATATATACCACATTGCTACTAGTCATCGCTGGAAAGGGTCAGTGGAAGACTACCGCTCCTTCTGGAGTACGTGTTTGGATAGCGACCACGCGTTGTTCCGAGCACGTATATGTCTGCGTCTCAATGGAGGTAGGGAAAATTTGTCAACAAAACCATTACGAGTGCTGCTGGACAACGAAAACACCAAAGCCGTGTTCAGTGAGAAGTTGACTAGGCAGTTATCGGAACGGAACACTATCACTTATCTAGAAGAAGCTTGATGCCATCTCGAGTCTGGTGTGAAAGCATCTCTGAAGACCTTAGCAGACTCCGAAAGAGTGGCTAAAAAGAGCTAGTGGATATCAGCAGCTTCTTCCGATCTAATGGATGCACGTCAACGCATCACTGCCTGCAGGCCCCGAGTACAGTGAAGAAACTGGGGAAAAAAGGTCGACTGCGGTTTGTGAGACCATAGCGGAGAAGGACGAATCTGCGATTCACTCGCAGAGGAGGCGACTAAAACGATGGGTGGAACACTTCGATGAACAGTTTAACTGGCCTCCAGCCACCATTGCGTTGCCCACTATCCAGTCGGGTTCTGAATGGGACATAGAGATAGGTCCCCCAACACTAGGAGAAGTTGCGAAAGCGGTAGGTAGCCTGAAACGAGGAAGGGCAGCAAGACCAGATGGACTAACTCCTGACGTATACAAGGATGGTGGTAGAGTGCTCTTAGTCAGGTTAACATAAGTGTTAGCTAGTATATGGGAATCAAATACGATCCCCTCTGACTGGTCTAAGTCAATGATTATCCCAGTCTTCAAGAAAGGCCAAGAGTCCTCTTTTGATAACCACAGAGGAATCTGCCTGAGGAACATAGTGTCTAAGATCCTAGGTTCTATAATTCCTCGACGCCTGAAAGGAGCTCGCTAACAGCAAGCCCTGGAAAACCAGGCAGGCAAGCATTAGACCCAGCCGCGGGTGTATCGACCAAATATTCACACTTCGCCAGGTTCTGGAACACAGGCACGCTTACCGACGCCCGACAATAGCTGTATTTCTCGACCTGAAGGCTGGGGCTTTCCCCTCCGTTGATCGAGAAGTCCTATGGTAATGTCTGTCACTGAAAGGCGTGCCGAGTAATTGTACACCACCTTATTGCAGGCTCTCTACTCGAACACTTATGGGCATGTTAGAGCCTATGGTGAGATGTCCGGGAAGCTGTGCTCGTAGAGTGATGTCCGTCAAGGCTCCCCACTCTCTCCATTCTTATTCAACTTTATCATGGATATTCTTATGGAGGTCTCCCTCTCGTCACCTGACTACACAGAGGTTGACCTAATCGCGGGAGAATTTTCGTTACAGCTAGAATACACAATTGACATAGTCCTGTTAGGTGAAGAGGCTGACAAGATGCAGAGTCTTCTGAACACTTTGAGTGGCAATTCGAGAATGTTTGGGATGCATTTCTCACCACCCAAATGCAAATTGTCGCTCCACAATCGGTTTTCAACACTGTCTCGGCTAACAGTAGAGAGTGTGTCAACCACTTCACTTACCCGGGAAGTAGGATCAGTCTTGGTGGGTTAGTGGCTGATGAAATCTCTGGATGAATGCAAAAGCTCGGTTGGCCATCATCAACGTACGCCGCCTGTGGCGCCGCCGTGATACCCGACTATCTATGAAGGGTCGCGCGTACTGCACAGCAGTCCGCTCTGTTTACTGTATGGCTGTGAAACATGGGCATTGAAGGTGGGAGACATGAGAAGGCTTCAGGTGTTTGACTACCGTCGCCTTCGTAGTATAGGCCGTATTCCGTGGTGTCACCACGTGAGTAACGCAGAAGTCAGGTGTAGAGTTTTAGAGAGAAGAGGTAAGTCGGTTGACGAGGTTGTGAACCTTCATCGACTGAAATGGTTGGGACACGTGTTACGTATGCCCAGTCGCCGATTGTCTCGTCACACAATGTTGGTCGAAGTAGTTTCAGGCTGGAAAAATACCCGAGGCGGCCAGACTGAAACATGGCACCAATGTATGAAGTCTTTGATTGTTGGTTTAAGCCATGTGAGGCGATCCGGACTAGGTGGTTGGGGTCTGTTTGACAAGAGGAACCAATGGTTGGAGACTGTAGGTGATGTGGCTGAGAACCGATGTCAGTGGCGTAAATGTTTATATACATTTTCCTCATCTTAACATTATACCGAATCTCACCATTCTCTCATCCCTCACTTCTATCTTTTCGCGCTTTATATTTCTTTTGACTGAATTTTCTTTTCTTTATCTTGCGCCTTACTGCCTTTTTACTTGGTGTACTGCATATGAGCTGTGGCAACTCGGATCGTTACGCAGTAACACCTGGTCCTAGGTTGATCAGGATGAATAAATGAATGATTAATGCAATGTTAGCAGTAAGAACACAAAAGTCCTAGTGAAGTGTATAGAAAACTGATTTATTATGACTCCATCCTCCAATACAGCGTCAAGAAACCAAAACAAAATTTATTCTGTACGGTTTTTTTTTGAAAGCGGAAAGCGACCTTATTGTGATTGCCGTAATAATTAAAAACTAAGGATTTCCTATCAATTTGTCAACTGTTTGTCAAGCTTAACACCGATCTCAATGTTGTCTTCAACGAATAACATGCGGACATAATTATTAAAACCATAGGTGTACTCAAATTCTGAAAGAATTTGAGTGTTGACTCTGAATCACTATGCGAATATCTCTACAAAATCTCCGCTTATTGAAAAGATAGAAGTTCTCCGTCATTTTTCTGTTTTTTTTTTATATATAAGCACTCTGGGAGTGTTAAAAAATTTGTATGACAATGAACAGATCAGCCTGATTCAATGTGAAACATATCTCAAAGATTACAAGTATGCCACTGAATGTTTTTGTCGTCAGTGAAGACTAAAAAGCATCTTCACAACACTGAATAAAGTGTTCTCAATCCTTTTCCATCTATCCAAGCAGCAATTGATAGTTGTTTCATTTACCACCCACCATACTGAACATATGGACAAGCATAAAATTAAATTTGAACCAAACGTTTAATCCTGCATAGACGGAAAACAAAAGCGAGATTTTCAAAACCTAGTATTTGATCCAGCTGAGTCAGTAGATGTGTACATAGAAATCTACTTTCCCACCTAGCACAATCAGAAACAATTGCAGAATCAAAGATGAAATGCATGATCAAGTAGTAACAGAAAAAAAGAGTAGCAGCCTAATAGTTTTCAAACATGGG